CCTCCCCCGGGCGATGGGCCGTTTGCCGCGGGGTAGTCAGGCCCCGGCGATCGACAGCGTTACATCCGTCGCGATCGCGACGCGCTGGACAGAGGTACGAAGCGAAGGGTCGGGTTGTAGCTCAGAGGAGGGGAGGGGAGACGTCGTGGTTCCCCAACATGCCCAGCGGCTGATGAAATGCGACAAGCTAACTTCTCCGCTCTACGAGGCACACCACGTTGAGCTTCATACGAGGCATACATCACAAAGATGGTGTGAATCAAGGCACGAACACGAGCGCGAGAGCTTGGGATGAATGCCAGGTATTCAAGTAGGTTTATTTTCGGCCACCATGTGATGGCAGTCTATCCACCACCCAACACCAGTAGCTCACAGCTCAAGGCTGGAGGCTTGAAACTGCGACCAAAGACGGTCGCAGCAGGGCTCGCCAATGTGGCAGAGTCCAAATCAAAGAAACAAGTCTGTACAAGATGGCTGGGCTCGGTCCTACCGTAGCGCCGAGCTTTACGCCTGTGAAACGCCCAAGTAAATCCAACTAAACAGGCTGCCACTTTATCCCGTGGGCCTAGGTCTGCAACTCCGGTGCGGTTTCCCCCCAAGTCTAAGGTTTTTCTCCCTCTTTTTGAACACTCCTTCCGGTGGCTCCATATGTTTCTCCCGTAAGAAAGAAAGTATCTACAGGCCTTGCAGCGCCGCCATGGGCGCTTGCTATTTTAAACAATAAGAGTACTAGATAATAAACATAAACAATAAGATTTGTGGTGGTTGACACCAGAAAGGAGACACAGTAAAAGGAAAAGTTGGTTCGTAAGATGTCGTAAGACGTGGCCTGGTCGAGGCGTGGTGGTAAAATGAGCGACGATAGTCGGGTATCCTGTGTGAAGAATGTAATCGAAAGAGAAAAAAAAGATGTTGATGTTCGATGTGAGCCACACGCTATCATCGTCGTTGCTTCAGGGTCGTTAATCGTAACAAGAGATATTTTAGCCGCTAAATCCGTGTTCGAAGTGACGACGGAAATAAAATATGTGGAGGGGCGGTGTCTGACTAAAGGCTGCATTCATTATCTGCGAATGCCAACCTTCTCGGCCAGGTTGCGCCAGAAACGGCCTCCCTTGCGCTCCTCGCTCCTGGAGCGAATCATTTTCGTGTCGCGCTCCATAGGCCCGACAATGTCTTCATCACCGCGCTCGGGGAACTTGCCCTCGGCATCAATAAGTCGAGGAATCGCGGTGGGTAAGCCGTCTTCGAGGCGGCGCCATTGCATACTGGCAAAGGCATCGTCTTGGGTAGGTCTGCGCAGTATGGCAGAGCCGCCACTGCTGGCGCGGACGCGACCACGACTGCGGCTGCGGGAGCTTCCTGGGCGTTGGCTGCTTGACTTGTTGGCAGCCTCAATGCGATCCATCGTCTGCTCGTGGAAGGCTCGCCAATTCTTCTCAGTCTCGGCCCATTTTGCCTCAGTGAGCGCATAGATCTTGGAAGTCTCGCTATAGTTTTCGCCGGTTCGCACAAGGTGCTTTGTGTAGCTGACCCGAGCGGCTTCCCAATCGGCTCGTAAGAGCCGGAGAGTCTCCATGTCAGCCTCCACCGGTTGGTAAGGCTGCGGAGTAATGGTGAAGTTGGCATGCCCAAGGCGGTCCGACCACTCATCGTGGTCCTGTACAATAGAAGGGAACCCAATTGGTAGCTCTTGGCTCGATTGAACGTGGCGGAAAGAAGACACTGACGGCTTCGCGCTAAGCGAGGGCGTAGAAATCTGAGCCATCGGCTGAGGGGAGGGGATTTCCAATGAAAGCGTTGACGGATCCACGCTGGGAGATTGAAGAGGACTGGGATGAGAGACTTCTGTCGGTGGGCTGTTCATCAAGAGGGGAGGAAGCAGAGGGGTTGCGGCGAGGGCTCTGTCACGCTCGATGCTTTCTCTCTCGTTGTTGGCCTTTTCAATATCGATGGGAGCCGGAGAGTCCACACTTTCGCTGCTCTCCCAAAAGGAAGTGGCGGGAGTAGGGACCGAGTATTCGTTGAGCCTGTCGAGTATCTGCCGTGTAGGGCCAGACAAGGAGGAAGACCGACTTGATGATGCCGCGCGAGAAATAGGATGAGCGTTCTCAAACGTCAGCTCGGTGGTAGGCGAAGCAGTCAACTGTGCTCGCTTTGTAGACTTCCAGCGCGAGAGATGTGGGAATCGTGACCCCAAACGTGTAGCCAGGCCGGAGAAGGGGGATTCGGTTCCACTCCTCTTTCTACCCAACGTGGATGTAAAATCGCCATCACTGGAAAATCCAAGGTCATAGTCGATATCAAAGCCTGCAGGGTACACGCTGTTGAGCGTCTCTGAGCTCTCGTGGTGGATGCAAGGCTCGTCACCTATTTGGGCATGTTAGTTTCGAACGAGTTATCAGAAGCAAAATTTGACTCACACAAGCAGTTGTACAAGTCGAACGGCTCGGCCAAGATGGTGCTTTCGTCGAGTTCGTCTCGCTCCAACGGTTCCTCTTGCACATCAGGAAGTGGCCTTTTGGAGGACTTTGTGTGGATAGTTGATGTTGGCGATGATGGGCTTTCATTGACGCAGGTGGGCGGGAGGTCAAGTGAGGAAGATGAGCTAGAGTAGCGCAAATGCCCTCTTGCTGAGAAGGTAGGTGTGACGGGTGATGCAACGTCGGAAGACGAGGAATTCGTCGTATAGTAAACGTACTGTCGGTCCATTTCGCCTTCTGGGAATTCGGGCTGTTGCTCTTCGAATTTGCGACGCTCTTCGACAAGCTGGGGTAGCAGCAATGGCTTCAACCTGGGAGACATGATGTCTGCCCGAAAAGTTTGGAGTATTTAGCAACGTTGAAGACGATGCTGTGCGGTTACTATTGCGTCAGATGTCGAAGTTGGATGTTCGGAGGTTTGTATCGCTTAGTTGTATTCTGACGGGCGCGGTGGGGTAGCCAGACGTTGGGTTGAACAGGGAGATGCTGCTGCGGTGATGATGAGATGAAGCAATTGTGTTGTGCCAGGTACTCTTATCCGATGTCATTCCAGGTACACATGCATTTAGTATCCTATGTGAAGTCGTGTAAGGTTGCCGTTTTTGTCGCGAGGTGGGTGTGTTGGGGTTTGGACTGGTGTAAGTACTCTTTGGGGTGTACTTGGTCGTTGTCGACGCCACTCAGATGGTTCCTATCAGCCGGATCTTCCCACTCCACATTCTCGTGATTCTGTACTGGCTGCTTATGTTGTCTCTCTTTCCCCCAGCCGACAACAGCGACGTGGCGTTGTGCTGTTTCGAACTCTTTTTTTTTCTCCCCTCGGAGGCGGTGATGGTTGTCGTGACTGAGTGAGTGATGGCAGTGTAGAAGCGCTGTGCAAATGCCCTGGTTTTCTCCAATGAAGTCAAATCTGATGTTTGAGCCGGCCGTTTGTCAAGGGCGGTAAGTCGTCCCACGTGTACGAAACTGGTGCAGGGTACCTCGGCCTGTCTGGCGGTGGTTGGGCGTGAGTGTGCTGGTACTGGGGGTCCAACAGGAATTTGGTTATGCGTGCGTTGTTGTTTCCCCGGTGCAGATGCCTCCTCTTCCAATCAAATGGGCTTGACGATGGACCCAATGCGACACTTGACTTGATAGCTCCGGGTCTTGCTGCTGCAGGGCGCACACGTGAGGGGATGACAGCGTCGTTGAAGGGTCGCGGGGAATGGGGGTTCGTAACGCAAAGGCCTAGACGTGAGGTGAGGCGGTCGTCGATATATGAGGCCGTGGAGGTGTTGCTGGGTTAGACAACGGAAGAAGTCTAGAGTCTAAGAGGGGATCGAACGACTGGCGACGGGTGCTAGCTTATGGTTTGCGACGAGCGACTATGCGTCTGCGGGAGAAGAGATGACGGACGAAAAACAAGTCGAGACAAGACCAGACCAGACGGCGATGGGTTCCCAGCCAGGTGATATTTCCCACAAGGAGGGTGGGAGAAGAAAATGTTTGGACAGGACAGACGGGTGGCAGTCGGCAAGAAAGACAAGGTAGAGAGGCAAGGCAGGGTTCGATGTGGGCGGCGGTACGTACATACAGCGTAGGACTGTGTAGGCGTGGGTCCGGACGGAGAGGGGGTGTGTGCGAGCTTTTTACAGCGACGGCGACGAAGAAAGACGAAGAATGGGAAGACTTTGAAGACACCGAGCGAACTGCGTGGGCAAAGTGGGCGAGGGAAGTGGAGACGAGGTACCCAGAAGGAGCAATCGGAGCGGGGGGTGTGAGGAAAAATGACCGGGGGGTATGGAAGACGGTGGCCGGGAGCTAGGATGGAAAGGCTTGGTGGGAAACTCAAGCTTACCTTCCTTGTCTTAGCTAAAAACCCAACCTAAGATCCAAGCTAACTTTTCTGTGTGCTTACCTCTTGTGTTTTTCTTTGGAGGGCAGGAGGGTAACTGGAGTCGGGAGGAGAAGGGGAAGGGGGGAAAAACACAACATTGGATACCTGAGGGCGGTACGTACTTATTCTCAACCTGCCCGGACTGAATGGGAAACCTGCAACATAAGGTACACTGATTGGGAAGGAAGGTAGAGAGAGGGAAGGATACGTACCTATCTCCCAGAGCCTTTCCTTCCTTGCGTTCTGGGCCTTCTTACCCTGATCCCGGCCGAAAGAGGAGGTACCTAAATACGTAGGTACATGGAAGCATGGTGAGGTCAGGGCAAGGAAGGGAAGGAACGAACTGGTGCCATGTGCGATGGATGGGAGGAAGGAAGGAAGAGTCTCGGAAGGAAGGCCAGACTAGGTAGACCTTCTTGCATTGTCTTCCATCCTCTCCTTCCGTGTAATTCCAGAGTCCATAGCTGGACTTGATGACGGAGAGAAGGAGGGACCCATTGTCTACCTTTCGATTAGTAGGCAACTCCCATTAAGTCAGTCGAGAATGGCAGGAGCGAGGTCGGTTAACGAGGTCGACAAAGAGCAGGAACGGAGGAGGGGAGGTACGTCCTATTGGTTTAGTCATTTTAGCTGCAACTCTGATGGGAGTCATCGTTGCACACTTTTTTTTCCCTCCATCCCCCGGCCAAACCCCACGATGTACGGCGGATACTCCAACTCCGCCATTTTACACAACTCATGATCAAGACACTGGCAATTTTCTACGGACACCGACTGAGAATAGGCTTTCGCTTCTCTTGCATCTTGCCTCTGCCCCCCGAGACGGGTCTGCGGGACGGGGATGCACGGAAACTGCTGCAACAGGGCGCCTCTGTCGTTTCGTGCTATTCTTTCTTTTCTTGTCTTCCTTTGTCTCTCTTTTCTGACTCTCTCGGCAGGGCCAACCCCCGTCTCTTTCAAAGTCACCTCCCACATGGTCAAGCCTCGAGGCAAAAGAAGAAAACAAGGACCCTTTCTGTTAGGAATCCGCCTTCCAGTTCTCTCTGTCAACAACAAGCTCGCCCGCAGCCCAACTATGGAGTACATACGCAGTGCCTACCCAGCGACCCGTTCTACGCCAGATACAGCTTAACCTCATCCCCTGGTCCGTGTGTCGCCTTCGACTGCCTAGGCGCAATGCCCCCAGGCTCAGTGTGGAGGAGGAGAGTGGATGAGCTCCCTCAAGCGTCTCCATGTCATTTTCTCTGCCTCTCTGCCTCCGCCTCTGCTACTGGGTCGATTGGTTCACGCGGCGGTCAGAGATCTCTGCCTCAAAGACGGCCCAAGCCTTTCGGGATTCAGGGTTCTGCGCTGTGCCCTATACCGGAGCCACGCTCTCATGTTGCATGTTCGTTTGCGGCTTACGGCTTGCCCTCGGTTTTTCGACGTTGGGGAGGGGCCTCACTTGGAATGGGGAACTTACATCTCCGTACTGTTTCCAGTGTAGGTAAACGGAGTATTGAAAGGCTTTTTCAACGAGTTTTCCAATGACTACAACAGAACTATCGGATGGAGTCATGCTCTGATGGCACCAGTCGTCCGTCTACGCCGGTGAGACCTGCCACGGCTGATTCCCATCCGATATTCAAGACACCGGCGATATTGAGCAAGACAGTACGGCTGACGTGACTCTCGTGTTTCCACGGTAGTTGGTTTAGTCCACTGCCTAGAGAGACTGAACCTGACTCTGCGACGAGAGGGAGGCGGTTCTCAAACCACTTAAGCTGCGTCACTGCCATGCCAACGGCACGGCAGAACGTGGTGCGCAAAGCTAGCTTACTAGCCTTTGCAAAGGTAGTTCATCGGGGTTTTGTGGTGTTGTCAGTCCACCAATCCACAATACCATTGGTGACATTCTGCTGACGCCAAAGATACGTGTCTTAGACTCCAAAGTTTTCAACTACCTGTTCTGTCATTACCATGGGCAATTTACGCTGCCCATTGCCTAATGGCATCCTTCGTACTTACCAGGTGCAGTACAGAAGCAGGATGGTGCCATTGGCGAGGGTTTCGCATCTTTTCCCGGGCTATTCTACAGCCAACTCTTATGCAGTGGACGTCACAGAGCAGACCTTGCAGCAGCCAACCGTCAGTCAACTTCCCAGTATCCATACGGAGTACTTCGGCCTTCCTCTGCAATATTTGCAGCCTCCGTACAACAGTTGAGCGGCTGCCAGTCCATCGACAACAACGTTGCTGCAGCGGAGCGACGGACACCAATGGACATTCGCCAGTCGATGGCTGAACAGACAGGGAGTGGGGCAGGGTTCAGGGCTTCTCCCCCCCCCCCCCCCCATCTTCTGCCCGCCAAACCTGGCTTTCACGTTCTTCATTGCTGGGAATGTTGGAGCCTCAATGCTCGTCATTGGGTTGACTTTGAGGCATCTAGCTGTAGCCTGTAAGTTTTCGGTCACCGACACAGTGAGTTAATGGCTACTGATCTCATTCCTCCAGGCTTTCCTCAACACCTCTTTCGTTGCCCCCTCTTCTACTCTCACGGTCCGCATTTCATCGTCCGGCAGATATCACAACAGCTCGAACCATGGGTACGTATCAAACCTCTTCTCTGCATCCACCTGCTGTCGGTGACGACATGCCTCCTTGCCGCTTCGGCCTAGGGGCCGCCGTCTTTTTTGCCCTGCTTTGGCACCGCCTCTGTTGTTCCGAGAACACTAATCCTGATTCTGTTTCGTTTCCTTCGCCATCAGGGATCATAGCTCGGCCTCCTCCCCTCCCCTCCCCTTGTCTGTGAGTTTGGCCAGGGTACCAGGTCCCGGTCCAACGTTTTCCTCTGCTTTGACCGGGGCTACAGGAATGGTCAAGCGTCCTTGCACAATGTCCCCTCACCCCTGGTACGGGTTGTGCTCCCCGTTGGCCGGAGGAGGGCTCGCGGGAGACGTTTGCGACTTGCCAGCCACTGACAGGAGGATGGGTCATGGCCAACATGCACCGCGGTTGAACCAAAGAGATGCCCACCATTTCACGGCATGCTCTGCTGGGACAAGTATCCGTACGTTCTGGGCCTTCTCATTCTCTCCACCCAGGCGGATCCTGCTTTGCCGATTTTGGGTCCGGCTCCAAGAGCTCGGTGGACCTGACACTGACAGTTGACGAGGACACTTTAGCATGGCTCCGGCGGATCTGCATAACTCGGCTGGATTCGTTCCCTCCATTATGCATGCACAATGATCTAGCTATTACGAGGTCGACCGCCACAGTCGCAATTATCCCGACGACCAGTTGCCGACCGGTTCCGCCCTTCAACGTCAGTCACTTCGAGACCTATTCTCCCAGTGTACTCGCCAGCAAGCCGATGATTCTCTGAGGTACACGAACAAGGTACGGATATCACTCAAAACTATGTCGTCCAAAGGTTCGGGCAAAGGGACGAGACCGTGAGCCCGGAGCAGCATCTCGACTCGATTGTGTATGGTACCCCAATCTCAAGTTCTTTGGTGCGCAAACCGTTCGATGCCCAAGTCGACCAAATCATTTGTCCCCATAGCCCTCAGCAGTCCTCGCTGCAGGTATAGTTTACCCGATTGGCTCTTCCACATTGGCCATCTCTGCCGCAGTGTTCTCCAAGATTTCTTTTCGCTCGCTTGGAGGTCGATTGTCGAGTTGTTCCCAGCTTTTCGGTCGCTTGATTGGGTTCGTTGTCCACAGGGGCCAGGGCTCGATGAACTTCCCCCAATTGGGAGGTTCGTGACTCCACTGCGCAGCGACCAAGAGCTCAGTATGGATACAGCACTGAAGCCCCGGAAACGGCGGACCTCGGGGCACAACAAAGGGTAACGTGGATAAGATTTGCTAGTGCTTGTCACCAAGTATGGTCTAGGGCATGTGGCCCATTGGGTACCCATCAGTGCAGTCATCGACTCTTTAGCAACGCCGGACATTGTGGTGCGATATTCCATCATGGACAAAAACTATAGAGGTCGGCTTGTCAAAATCAAGGACTGCCAATATGCCAGTATCTCGACCCCATACTGTATACGCTCTTCTGGACGAGCATCGCAGACGGCAAAGCTTTTGGAGGATCCCAGCGGCCCCTCAATCCGTTTTCGGCATATCAAGTCCCTTCCCCAGTCACGACTCACGATTCACCCGCCTTTCGTTAGGTTGCCTTCGTCTCCTCCTTGCGAGCGGGTATGTTCCAGGTCGGCGGGTAACGCAACGCTGTGGCGCGGGGAGCGATGTGGCTTCCTCCTTCCTGCTAAGGAATAGTGACCAGCCCCCAGAAGATGGGTGCTGATGGAATGGCATGGAACGATCCGATGGAATTTGGGGGCCGCCTCTCTGGGCAACGCCGGAGCAGTCGCAGCTAAGCCGTGATGCAAGAGTCAGGTTGCCCACGACATGGGCTTGGGCCAAGCAACAATCTTGGGCGGAGGATACGATTTTTGCGAGTTCACGAAGCTGCGAAGAGCCAGCTTCGTGGTCGTTAAAAGAACATCTACTGTGTAGACCTCATCAACCTGTATGCACTTCCATACCGGTTGCCATGACTAAGACTACCCTCAAGGCCTTCAGATTGCGAAAGGTCTTGCGTACTCGGAAGCTTTGAGCATAGGTACCTCAAACCCAACCTCAGGCTCTAGCTTCCAAGAAGCCTGTGCCATTCTACGCAGTACATACGCAGTAAACAGTGCAGCCCACAGCGGAGACCAACTGACAAGTTGACATGGACCTGATCGACGGGTGAGAATCTCGATGAATTGCCAGGACCTGAGCGAGGAATGACGATTGTCGAGCAGGGCCAAGGAAGACCTAGACTCCAGCTTCTGGTGGTCCACAACGGCGCAATTGGCGAATGACGTGCTGCGCCCTGGTCCGATATTACAACGTCCTCTTAATGCCAGGGCTATCCATCGCAACTTCACGAGGCCTGCGAAAGTCCCATATGGATTTACGGGATACCGAGGGTCGAAACTATCCGTGGACAGGTCATAGCAGCGACTGTCACTACGATAGTTTCCTGTTATCACGACACGGGCAGAACCCCACTCAGGTCAATGCACCACAACAAACAGTCGAACTCACGCCCATGGGCTGCCTAGGTAAACACTGTTTGCTTTGTAGTGGTTGTCATAACAGAGCAGCCACACATCTACGAATACGCACGGGACATCAGGAGACGAAAGCTGAACTGCGACAAGGGGATGCTTTTCGATACGCGGGGCGGTATCTTGTCCATTCATCCGGCGAGGCATATCAGGTTGCTGAAGCTCTTCCCATTCCGATGCAGCGCCATGGTCACCGTGGGCTTGGCTCCTTCAAGCGCTGAGTATTGTTGGTCGAGAATTGTCCTCATCAGCACTTGCTGGTCTTCCAAGTTCCGACCCCGCAAAATCTAGCCCCATCAGTTTGCTGCCTGGAAATTCGATCTCAATGACAAATGCAACTTGTTTCTTAAGGAGGAAAAAAAAAAAAGGCTGGGGAATGTGGACGTCTTCTCCGGGAGCCGCCAACGTATCAACGCTGCTGCCCAGCTGAAGCCGCAAAGAGAAGCGCGTTGCGAGTTGCCAGGCTCCCTCTTTGACTTGATTCAGCCAGCACCTCGTGTCCGTTGGCCATATTGCCTGCCAAGCGTCGCTGCTACAGGGAGACTCGATGGCGCGAGACCATTGTCGCAAGTTCAGAATATTGTAGCGAAACGCTGGCAGCCTCACTCAGGGCAACGAAGCGCCTCCTTTGAGGCTGGCGGGATGGATGGAACTTGGTGAATGACTCTGCTTCTATCAGGCGGATTTCTGGATCTTGGCCAGTCAAGCCCTTGGCGCCCATCTTGTCGTACGCACGCCTGCTACAGGGGCGGGGTAGAACGAACGTCCTCTCCCTGTCTTTCGCCGCTAGATACAGTACTGCCCCGAAGTCCCGGAAGCGCCTCGACCGGTATGCCAGTTCGCCTGGGCAACGGACATGGGCAAGCCATGTTCCCGGAGTCGCGCGATCATCTCCTTTTACCTCGCCTCATTGGGATGTGTCAAAGCAAGCATTTGTTGACTCGCAGCTTGTCGATCCCTTCCAGTTCCTGGCTGAACGACGAGTACACACCTAATCGAATACTCCGTGGACGGCTACCTACACGTACTGGTTTGAGGCTCCCGACGGCTCCAAGATTCAACAAGCAGCTTGGGAAAAGGCGGGCCGGCTTTGAGTTCGCCGTATCGACGAGGCTTAATTTGAATCAGCTTGCCGGCATCACGGTCACATCGTGCTTTCATCATGGCCAGACTCATCCAGCATCGAGAGTCATTTTGCACCCACCACTTTCCGCGTTTTCATGAACAGAAGCATGTTCTTCTTGGACATCGACATCTCAGCCCTCTCTTTGACAGCTGCACCCTGCTCCGAATTGGCACTGCCCCCGTCAGCGCTGCATGTGTTGTCTTAAGGAAAGGAATGCTACGGGTACAGCCCCCTAGCATCACACTGCGACCTTGGAGCAAAGATCACGACGCGGAGCCCCTCTCAAGTCTCAACTCGCAGGTCTGAGCTCCGATACCACGTGTGTCCGGCATTATCCACCAACATTCTGAACAAGGATCCTCCACTTTGGCCAACTTCTAAATTTTGAATTTTCAGCAACGACTCGAATGCAACCTCGTTTTCTGGCCGCCCCATCATTGCTTCTTCTCGGATAATGGCACCACATGCGGCTTCCAGCATCGTCATCTACCTTGGAAGCAAACTCTGTTCCACGTCTCGCAAAGATATCGAGGTCTAGGGGCCAGTCTCACTATCAGGTGGCTCCACGGATGACAACGCTGGTCGGCTCGTCCTTCCTATCCTGCCTCCCGTCTTGTTACTCCCGTCTCAAGGATAGATGCCACTGCACCGGCACAACATCAAAGCCGTATGGCACAAGGGCGGGCCACTGCGAAGCTTAGACAAGAGCACAGTTATCCCTAAGAATCGCCAATGCATTCGTAACGTCTCACTATTCCGACAGACTCTTCCCCTCGCTGTGCGGAGAGAGCTCCCACATCTCTCTCGCCTGGCTCAGCGCGTTAACGGCCGTAATATCCAGCCGTCACTGAGAAGTTGGCTGATAACCGCGAGAACTCGCAACGAAACTTCTTCTTCTCCTCCGGTCTGCGCAATTTCTCGCCATGACCTTCTTGCCTAAATGTCCATCTCTACAAACGAAGTCTTCCTACCTTACGTAGCAATATGTCTCATACTCGCTATCCACCTGGCTTCGGTGCCGCCCGAAAATGTTTCCAGTCGTTAACTGAAGGGATGTGGCTTCTGAGTATGCCGGCCGACCTGCATACACAGTATACGGCGGGTTTGGCGAGAGCTCCTCCCGGCACGAGAAAACTTTTTACCATCCACAGTGCCGTAGCACATCGGATGCTTTCGTCTCTCGAATCACTTCATCTAGGCCTGCCGGTGGAATCTCAAGGTGGGGCTACAGATCCTTCCTTGCTGCAGCGGAACAGGCTTGCTCGCTTATTGCATGCTCGACACTTTTGCCTGGTACCTCTGACTTGACCTAACACCGTCCGTACATACGCCGCTGAGCTCAAGCCCTAGTTCACTCAGCAAACGGCGTGGTTCGCGAAGAGGGACACCGGCCAGCCCCGGTGGAACCAGATAGGGACATGGCACGCCCAACCATTGCCTCCTTAAGATCTGACGACATCTTGTTAGCTAATCGATCTAATGAGATGTGATTATATCATAATCACGATGGATGGAGTTCTCTTGTGCGGGCCAGGGAGCCTATTCTGCTATTTCCGTTGGCTCTCGTCCCTTTTGCCTGTCATTGGGCAAAATGTGTAGCGAAGGCGAGAGCTTTCACTCCAACGGTCTTCGGTCTTCGGTCTACCTGTTCGCCCCTCTCGAAGCCGGCAAGCGGCGCAAATCCCGTGGGCGCTTGCCCCAATAGTCCTCGAGGCTGCGCCGTCGACCGGAGACGGGCCAGCCTCGAGAAATTTGGGGCCGGTCAGAACCTGGCAGACCGAGGCACCTGGGGTTCGACACCCTCATGAGAGCACAGCCATTGATTGTACCCAAAGCTTGCATCTACTACACCTAACTGGTGCAGCCGTGTCTAGTGTACGGAAGAGGGTGTGCAGCGTCACAATCTCTGCAGTCTGCACGCACTTGTTGAGTCGATATTCTCAAGCCCGCCGGTGCGGTACCTGGATTGGAGATGAGGTTTTTTCCCCCTTGGTCTTGCGTCCCTTGCATTAGTCGTGCCCTGATGGAGGGTTGGATTGGCAGTCCATTCGCCGATGCTGAATTACCAAATGCAGAGGGGACGGAAGCGAGAGGGGAAGACACGGGTGGCCGGTGACGGGCATGACGGATACCATCCGGTGCCTGGGCTCTAGCCTTAGGGCTCCGGTAGAAGCGCGCGTGGAAGCCTCACCTTGCAGCAGTACCGCCCAATTCTTTTCTGTCAGTACGGTTGCATCGAGGAAGCCCACAGGAAGAAGGATCCCTCATCCAACAGCCTCTTCGCTGTGCCCACTTCACATGTGAACTGAAAAAAGTTGCATACATCCATGTCAGGGAACGAAGCCGGCTGATCGGGTGGGGTCCCGATGATTCTGAATTTCTAACGGGGGATTATGACCGAACAGAAGGCCGATGCGGAGGCTCGCCTGAGTCTTCTTTGGCCTTTGAGTTGAGCCTGCGTGCGTGGAAGACCGGTGCCTTTGGACCGGCCTGGACTCGGCCAAACAGGAAGAAGAAGAAGAAGAAATGGAAAAGGTACTTCCATTCTTACAGTTGGACATCAGCGGTTTGGAAAAATTTGCATGCGGCGAGACTTTTCTCGAAGTTCGAAGTCATCGGTCGGCGGCAAGCCACAGACCCATCACCGCAGGCAAGCCGTCAAGCCAAGGTCGGCACTCGAATCTCAACAGAAAAAGGCAAAAAAGGGATCAGAATTTTCAGTCTCCGGTCCCGACGGAATCCAAATTCGGATGATACAGTGGCGGTAGGTTACTTCTATGTTTGGAATGAAAGAGGGTAGCTAGCGAGGGGCGTGGCGCCCTTACCTGTAAGCCATCCGTTGAAGCGGCTTACAGTTCCCTCGGAACCAGGTTGTCGACACCTGGATGATGCTGATGTCGCGTGCGCCCCCTCCTCTATTTGGTAATGATGATGGTTCACGGGTCTACTTAGACTCCCAACAGTTGATGCCGGCAGATACGAGGGAAATAACGGCGAATAATTTCACAAGGTGGATGATTTACTCGTTCAATGAGATGAAAGGTCGTCTTCAACAAGACATGGATGGCCTTTAGGCGGTTCGGGTCAAACAGGCCGCCTAGACAGAAGACCACGAAGTTCCCGGCCTTCCTACCGGAAAGCTCGGTGCGCTTCTGGGCGGTTTCGCCTCTCATTCCAGGCCATCCATCGTCATGGTGCGGCGTGTGGCAACGAATGGGGTGTTTCTTTTGGGACTCCGTCGCACGATGCCACGAGGCGTTGCGGGAGACATCGGCGCCAACAGTTGGTGTCACGATTGCGTGTGTGCACGGGCGAGTGTTCCCAAAGCGGGAGCATGGCTGGAATTCGATGTGACCGCAAATAGCTGTCAAAATCTTTAGAGGAACATTCCTGCGACGATGACTTGGATTCCAAGGATCCCCGATATTGGGGTTGGTGGCGGCGATGCCTGGGAAACACTTCATGGCGCTTTTGAGGGCTGAAAAGTCAATTGAGAGAGAGAGGAATGAAAAGCCAATTCCCGCTTTGGGATCATGGAAGAGTCTTTCTCTTCTTTGCGTTTCTCCATTCAAAGGAAGGGCGCTGCAGCGTCAAAGTCAAATCAATAATACCTTACTCAACAGGGCCAGCAAGCCCAGAATCCGACATTGAAGCCCGGACTGGCCAATAGAAGAGGAAAGCGACAGCAACTTGCGCGCGAAATGGCGAATGGCCGAGTTTTGCGCGTTGGGACTCTTGTCTGCCCTATGTTTGACTTACACCGAGGCGCATGTAGAGCAGAGGATTCGATGCTAATTCCGAATAACCACCCGTACCTTACAGACTGCGCCCTCGTGGCAGCTTGGACTGGCGCGCGCGCACGCTCAATCGGGGAATTCTTTTTTATCTTTATCCTTTCGGGACCGAGGAATGCTGCGGGCTGATGCAAAGGTTCGGCGCCACCAATGTCTGAGACCCCGTGATCGCCCGTCAACCCGCGATAAGAAGAAAGCCGCAGATTACTTTCTACCTTACTACGTCTTACCAAGGAGATGCTGTGCTTTTCGCTGCGAGACATTCGAAACCCCGGAATCGATCGATATGTGATCTCGGGGTAAGGGGACGACGGCGCACTGATGGGGAATATCGAGCGATAAACTTTGGTTGCGGAAACCTCGAGCTGGGTTCACTTTCCGGTCCTGCCTAGGCAGATCGAGAGAATGCTACCAACTGGTAAGGCCCTGGTCCGGTTTGTATTGTAACTTCACCTCAGGCCCAACCGGTGAAGGGCAAGTCGTTGGTGACGACGCAACGTCTTGTAACTGGCACCCTTCGAGATGCAGCGTCGTGGCCGTTGGCGGTAGTCCGCGGACGGGGGAAAGGATTTGCCCAACGGCATGTCAGGCACAACGCAGTGCACTGCTACTTTGCCGCTCAACAACTGTCGGGAACGAGGGCGATCCTTCGACACGATGCCACGGCTGCTGGTGGTGGTGATGTTGCCGCCGCGGCCATCACATCACATCCCGTCACTGGCCAGGTACCCTCGCTCCCCCATTGGACCACGTGTGGCCAGCAGCGATGCCACGTCCGATTTGTGCCTCGGGTGCAGCATCGCAGGACAGGGCTCTTTTGTCTCCTTTTTTAGGTTCAGGCACGAGCAGGACCCTGCGACGTGCGAGCTGAACTCTGCGCTCCTCCCGTCATGGTGAGAAGAGACGAAATAATCTCATGTTCTGCAGACGGCATCTGTTCGTTGGGGTGACCGTTCGTCTCTCCTCCGTGGGGGGGAAAGGACGGGATGGAGGGGGTGTGGACGTTGGTGTTGGGTGTTCACCACGGTTGATGCGGGTGGGATGCGCTCGGTCAGAGTGGTTGGTGCCGCGGTTCGCGGAGGTGGGATTCCGGGGAAAGACGGGCTGGTTTCAGAGCCGGGAAACTTTTTTGCGCTTTGCTCTTACAGAGTCGAGAACTTCCAACCGCGACGCGGGCGACGACGCGTATGGTGTGGTGAGCTTACACACTTTGTGTGTGTTTTCATGGTTCTTTGGGTTGTCACTAATATTTTACACGAAATTTTGCGACGGTCTAGCTTTTTTGGCTCCTGTCGCGCGACGACGCGTACAAACTTCTACCGAGGCATGGTTGGCTGCGACTACTCGACTGGATGTGGGACAACCTCAATGCGCGCGAATCATCAGGGGGATGGATTGGAGGAATTTACCCCCGAGGCAGAAGGCATACATCAAGGCCTGGTTGCTATTTAGCTTCTTGATGTCCAAGTATGTTGTGGCGTCGCGTCATTCGCCCGGCCAACGGGAGGCAAACCACGGGATGGGACGGGGCGCGCAATCGGTGACGAGATGTTGATTGACGGGCAGTGTAGTGTGCCTCGGGACGAGCGGGAAGGGCAGAGATGGCGGGCGTTTGATGGGTCAAGCTTGATCGGTGAGCGACTGGGCCTTGGTGAGTCCCGACGGCTCGGACTCTTTGTCTTTTGAGAGTGGCATTGACACGATCATTGCTCTTGGGATAATTATCCCGCGACAAGATGAGGCTTGGTTCCGGAGAGCGAAGGAGGAGCGATGCCAGATTCTGCAATAGACGCGACGGGGAGATAGGTTCGGCATGCTACGCTGCGACAGACCCGGCGGATGCGGACGGCGGGTGTGGATTGCGGGACGGACGGTAGTCCTGCGGTGGTGGGGTCGCGCGGTCCATGTGGTTGCAGGAGGAAGGATTTGCGGTCCCGGCGGTGCGGGCGCGGCATTGCTGTGTTGTGGTTATGAGTGAGTCTATCCTTTGCAGCATAATTATCCCAGAGAAGAGGAGGAGGAAGAAGAAGAGGTCTATGCTGAGTTGTTTGCTCAAGCGCAAGCGCGACATCGGAGGCGACATGTCGATTCGCGCGGCACATGCACGGAATGCTGCGAGACACTGGGCAGAAGGGCACAAGCCTCGAGGCAGCAACTAGAGATGGCAGTACAGAGGAGGAGGTCTAGACCTGGCCGAGCGCGGGTGTCTCTTCCCTTCTCGCTCTTTGTGCTGGAGGGCGTTTTGACTACCCTTTGTTGGTCCCTTTTTTATTCCCGTTTGGTGCCCACGGTTCCTTACCTTAGCTGGGCTGCTGGTTGAAAGACTGATAAGGGTTCTCCTCCGCGGGTAGAGCTTTGAGGGTTGAGGATTGAGGGTTCGAGAGGATCTATGCGCCTGTCTGTCGCTGTCTGGGCATGAGCGTGAGCAGTATTTTGCCCCCCTCGTCTGAGGGTTTGGCAGGCTTTAGGGGCAGAGATTCCGCGGATGCCGGGTCCGAAGGTAGGTTGAGCTGTGGCATCTTTGATGGTGAGAGAGGGATGGGATATGTGAGGGTTTGGAGGTTCTTTGGGACCGAGACGCCTTGCTCGGATGGGATGTGATGTAGGAGGCTTTTCCGGGCGTCCTTTCGCGTTTGCGTGAATTTCTCGATCTTTTTCTCATTGTTGATTTGGGGGCATGGTCTGGTGACACGCCTGAGAGCTGCGACTGACGGCGTTGCGAGGGAGGTATTGTCGATTTGGATTTGTTGCTCTTTGGCGACTGAGGCGCAAACAGGACGAGGCGTCTCGCACTGGGATGGATTGCGAAACGTAAGGCAAGGCTGCATGGTTCGCCTTCGGCATTCGCGAGGCGGACTGTTCTGGGTAAACGTTTTGTGGACTTGAGGAGCTAGCTAGCAAGCCCAGGTAATTCGAGGCAAGGTAAGGTGAGGTTAGGTGAGGTGAAAGATTGGCAGCAGAGGGCGACTTGAGTCTGGTGGCTTTTCCGGATCGTAGGCAGCAGCGCCGAAAGCGGGGTCGTTTGGCCCCCCCACCAAGTATCGTCTCAACGTCTTCGTGAATCGCTTCGTGAACAATGGTGAAGTCGAGCTTTATGAACTTGGGATTTCGTTTATGACTCATCCTACGGCACAGCAAAGCCGATAAGGGTGAGAGTTTGAGGACGACGTCTATAAGGCAACTCACCGCATCTCCCGTCAGCGCTTTGGAATCTCGACCGTCCACCTTGAAAATTCACATAACCATGGCGCCCCGAAAACAGCCCAAAACATGCCAACACACATCCATTGTCGTCGACGCCTCAGCCTACGGCCGCCACAGGGCAGGGTTCCTCCGCGTACCCGTTGAGAAACGTGTCGCGGCGACGACGAGGTCTGGGAGGGTTATCCCGGTTGCCGATGCCGATGCTGGTACCTCCAATCCCGACCCCAACTCCAACCCCGGCCGCAGCGCCGGCTCCGGCTCCGGATCTGACGTCCCCGCACCACCTGACCCCTCCACTTTTCCCGGCCCGCTTGTCCTCCCCGACGACGACCTCGCGCTGGAACCGCGGTATCCGCCGCAGAGTTTGAGAGCGTGGGCTTCCGGGGAGTGGAGGAATCGGATTACAGGAGGGAGGAAGACTTTGTATGTTGCCGATTTTCCGGGTGTCGAGGGGGATGTTGGGTTTATGAGGGGGTGGGAGGTTCCTGTTTTGGAGGGCGGTACGGCGGATAGCTTGGAGCAGCCGAAGGTGGAGGATGTGGTCTCGTATTTTGAGGCGTTTTATCATCCTCTCCCGGTGGAGGTTCTTCCTACTGCGTTTAGGTTTGTCAAGTGGGATGATGAGGGCGTTCCTCGTGGGAAGGCGAAGGAGAAGAAAGCCTTCATGATTGGCCTCGCAACAGGATCTTCCGTCGTCGGAATCAGATGTCGCCCGTCACCCGACGACTTTGCAAAATACCAACTCAACCTCAACGACCTCCTCGACGCCCTCTCAGGGGTTCTCCCGGGCGACGCGTATGCCGCGTGTATGCTTATCGCGCAGGATCTATACGAAGACGAAGATGATGACTTTTGTTGTGGACGGGCGTTTGGGGGTAGTCGGATTTGTACGGTCAGTTCGTTTCGGTATCGGCCGGCGATGGATGGGGTTATGGGGGTTGAGAGGGGGCATGGGTGGCCTGCGAGTCATTGTGGGCGGTTTGTGATGGAGGCGTGTGAGTGGTGGGAGGAGCAGGAGGAGATGGAGAGGGAGAAGGATGGGGGAGGTGAGATGGAGGTGGATGGGAGGGGGGGTAAAGGGAAGGGCAAGGGGAAGAAGGATGGTGGTGGTGAGGAGGTTCTTGTTGATTTGAGGAAGGTGAAGGGGACGGCCATGGGCGCTGCTATTTATGTGTCGAGGAACGTTCTTGTTCCGAGGGAGGTGTCGCGGAATAAGAAGCAGGCGGAGGAGGATTTGTACGGTATGTGGTTTTCGCGCGTGGCGAGGACAGCGGTTCACGAGGTTGGGCACTGTCTTGGGATGGATCACTGCGTTTATTATGCTTGCGTCATGCAGGGCACGGGGGGTTTAGGTGAGGATTCGAGACAGCCGCCGTACTTTTGTCCTGTTTGCGAGGCCAAGTTTATATGGAGTTTGGGGGAGATGGGCGTTGTTGAAGAGGGAAGGGGTGGGAGGTGGATGGAGGGGAGGATGAGGGAGGTTGAGCGTGAGAGGATGGAGGTTATGAGGGCGTTTTGTGAGAGGTGGAAGGGGGTTGGGATGTTTGCCGGGTTTGGGGGGTGGTTGGAGGCTCGATTGAAGTTGGAGATTGGGGAGAGGGACGAGGTAGAGGCATCAACACGTGTCTCGAAGGGTGTACGGGAGGTTGAGGTTATCGTAATTGATTCGGATTAGGGTCGTGCGGGGGTCAACGAAGGGGTGTGACTGTAATAGAGAGAAATCTTTCATCTCATCAAACGTCACAGCTATGAGATGAAATGTCCCATGCCGCCAGATGGCATTAATACATGTGTACGTACTTTCGTTAGAGGTATAACTGCCTGACCCTATCCCCTTCATATTCGTCCACGAATAATCAGACATAAAGTGAAAGTTGGAGAAAGACTGGAAACGGATGTAATGACAATTCTAACAGTGGATAGTACACCTATGATGACAGCAATAACGGGGTAGCTTGTAGGTAGTACAAGAAAGAAGAGGCAATGTCGTCTCGCCGTTGGTCGCATGGGAAGTATGCCTCACTTTCAAATGGAAGCTGCGATTGGTTGAATCCACACCGAGAATAGCAACTTGCAGCGACCTCGCCGCTTCAGCTCTTGCCATCATTGGCCCGGTCAAGACATATCCTGCAGGCAGAATCGTCTGCCAGAGAGAGCCTGCTTCCAGCAGAATCCCACTTTTCTCTCGGATGTGCTCTTGCTAGCTACCCCTCAATTTTGACCTCTTCACCTCATTTCTCGACAACATCTGGTACGGCGACGGACTGCTCTCACACGCGCCTAGTGGATGTGCCCTTCGAGGCCCTAGACGCAATTGCACTCTTGCGCGACTTAACAGCACCTTCCTTCCTTCCTACTTATTGCCTTTGCGACCCTGACGCTACAAAAACATGACCCCACTCGAGATCATCGGCCTCGTCAGTGCCATCATCACATTCATCGACTTCGCGGCCGAGAATGTCACGGTGGCACGGGAGATTGGACGGATCGGGTCCGCGACGTTCAAAGACAATGCTGATCTGGAGCGTCGGGTTAAGCTTGTCGAGGAGCACGTCGCGGGACTCACTCCGAAGGGTATTGGTGCGCCAAGGGATACAAATGAGGCCCAGCTGCTGGATCTTGTTGAGGAGTACAAGAGCCACACAGTTCAGCTGATGACCCTCCTGGCTGGGCTCAAGTCAACCAAAAAGCGCCACATTCTATCCAAGATGGTCAAGGACTTTCGGAAGAAGGATGAAAAGGAGACACTCCAGAAAGAGTTGGATGATTGCAGATCCAGGATCCATTTGCAACTCACTCAAATAACGAGGTAAGAAGCTTGGATCAGACAACAAGGAAATAGACGCGTGCACCTACTAATGATTCTTCATTTGCTTAGAGCGGAATTGAGTCGCCGCCTCGATGAGATTTCGGCCCAAGGACACATCAACGCGACTGAAATGCAGCATTTGGGCAAAAATATCGAGGGGCTGCAGTCCAACATCGAGCTATGGAAACATGTTCCGGGTTTGGTGGAAAGTGTCCACGATATCCTGTCCCGCTCGAAGGAGGCTGTCGAAAGCACTGCCCAGCGCTTGATTTTGGAGAAGCTGTATGTCGGTGACATGACGAGGAGGTTCGATGAGATTGAACGCGCCCACGAAAAGACATTCTCCTGGCTTTTGGGCTCGTGCACACCGTCCACAAGCGATTTCGATTCGAGCGATGGGTCCGAGACCAGCCATAGCGATGGCTCAGGCCATGTGTCTCGAGGAGAGAATGAGTCGCCGAACGAAGGCAGCCAGAACTCCGATCAATTTGAGGTACCAGGCGCTGGTACATCATTAGACGACTCTTCCTACGAGGATTCCGATCATCAGTCACAAATATCCTCAGAAAGAACTGCTCGAGAGCTTCAAGCACAACAAGATCTGATAGACTGGTTAGCTCGTGGAGGAGGCATCTTTCATATCTCTGGCAAACCTGGTGCAGGAAAATCGACATTTATGAAGTACCTCTGCCAAAGCCCTGCTACGGAATCCTATCTCAAAGACTGGGCTGGAGAAAAGACGCTGATTTTGGCAAACTTCTTCTTCTGGAAGCTTGGGTCCACAGCTCAAAAGTCTTTAGACGGACTGCTTCGGGCGCTTTCATACTCTATCCTGGAGCAAGCCCCAACGCTGCTCGAGACCGTTTTCCCAAAGCAGTGGAGAAAAGCTACGCAAGGAAAGGCATTTTCAATCCAGAGCTCCGAGATCGAGTGGGCATTCTCCCATCTGTTGCGACAAACAGCATTCTTTTCCTCACACAAGATTGCAATCTTCATCGACGGCCTGGATGAATTTGATGGAGACCATGACAAGATGATAAAGATGCTTCGATATTGGTCTAAGAGTGTCCCAGAAAATATAAAGCTGTGCGTTTCAAGCCGTGAATGGGAGGTCTTTCGACGGAGGCTAGTCAACTACCCTGGAATTCGCCTACAAGACATCACGAGCCGAGACATCGAAGCGTACATCAACAGCGAATTATCCGACAATGAAGAATTCAGATCATATTCTTCGGAGAACCCAAGAGTTGAACATCTCATAGATCAGATCAAGGACAAAGCCGAAGGCGTGTTTCTCTGGGTGAAGATTACACTGAGAGGTCTTAAATGGGGTCTTCTTTCTGGGGAACGAGTGGAAGGTCTCGAGGCAAGACTCGAAGCTTTGCCTACAGGCCTTGAAGAACTCTTCGCGTCAATTCTGGCATCCATAAGAACCGGGACTCACACCAACAAGAAGGATAGAATGAGGGCGATGCGAATGATTCTCCTCGCAGCGGAGAAGGAGAAGAGACCCCGTACGAGACGACGAAACTCACCCCTGAGTTTAACAGAACTTGCATTCCTAGACGATTATGAGAAGGATCCCAGCTTCGTTTTCAGCTTTCCAGCCACAAAAGACGCCACTGGAACTTGGGTCTCAAGACAAGATAGGGCTAGGCGGTTGGTCTACCAACGTTGCATGGGCCTTCTTGAGGTACAATCTCTTAGAGGTGATGATCGACCACGATTGATGAGGGGTGTATGTGACTTCCTCTTGGGGTTTGCACAGCTTTCTGAGCAAATCACATCGCGGGACGAGAACAAGTACAAAATAAACGAAAATCTCAATAGCGAAATCAAGAGCAGCCTGCAGAATGGAACTGCACGAATCCACCGAGAAGACCACCTCGAGATCATCGACAAGGCGGACGGTGCATTTCTGCATAATCATGCGTGGTACAACAACCCTGGCAAGCTCAATGATGAACACCCTTCCAGCGAGCTGGTTGTGTGCACACATCGATCCGTGTTTGAGTTCTTGTCGCAGCCACACATTAAAAGTCTCATCGACGCCGAAGCCCAGTCCTTCGACTTGGCTGATTTCCGACTCCAGGCTTTCTTGGCATCTTTAAAACTATTTCGTCCCTGCAAGTGGTTCGTCACGAGAAGTATGATGGCTACGATAAAGCATTTTGTTTGGATTTGCTTTGTATTTCGCGAGTTGGCCCAAGATCGGCTACTGACTTTCTGCGAAGAACTGATCCGCATTCTGAAAGTTCAAACCCCGACTCCAAGCATCGGACCATATATAAGTCGAACAGGACCGTTTGAACTCGATCTATCCGAACTACTTTACGCCATAGAGACTGATGGAAGCTTGGGTATTGCTGTATACGTCGATCTTATGGCAGACTCATGGCCGATCAGCTTGGATAGTGGGTTTTACCAACTAGGACGTCGAAGCAAACGGGACATGTATTACAACATGCTTCTGGACTTCTGCCTACCTGAGATCTTTGATTTTTCCTTCGAAAAGGACTGGACAAAGACATCATATGAAATGAGGACATGCGAGTATATCTCCAAATGTTTTGAAGCAGGGGCAGATCCTAATGGGCTATCTCTACTCGCAACTCGATCGAAGATGAGTTTAACTTGCTGGCAAGCATGGGTTATTGTATCCATGGCCAACAAAGTCCTTTTCAAATCATGGGTGCCCTACCTCAGGCTTTTTTTACTCCATGGCGCGGACCCCATCGTTTGGGTCCACTTCGAGATCGATAGAATATTCCTCTGGTGGCATGATGCGTCCCAGTGGCACGAAGCTAGCAGTTCCTACGGCATGAAGGATGAAAACCATTTTCTTGATGACTTGTCAAGGATCTGGTCTGAAACCAAGCATGCCAACACATATGCAGAAAGCGGCGCAAAGGGTTTTGATGTGTTACTTCGGGATTTTCTTCCAATTTGGCTCCAAGAAGACGGTGCGGAGCTGCAGAAACTCTGTGACCGTAATCAAGGATCAAAACCTATCTTGCGGCCACCTCCTTTTAAGATAGAAGAAGAACCCTACTAGTGGGTTGGACAATATGTGGTTTACGACAGTGCTAGTTTCTAAATCTTTCAAAATAATGCTTGGAAGGCATGTAGCAATGCCTTTATCTAGCCATCACATGCAGTCATAGAGTCCAAAGGGTTCTTCTACCTTGATAGCTCTACATTTTCGCGGCCACATTAGGTCAGAAGGCTCACTAGCACCTTATTACTACTACTCCCCTTAGTGCGAACTGTGACCAACGTAGTCATCAAAGTCGATTTTCCGCTGCCCTTCTCTACTTCATTTTCTCCTTTCGTCCTCGTCTACTTCACTTGCATGCCAGTACCACTCGGTACTGGTCGACGTCTGAAGTCTGGAAGATCGTCACGAAAAAGCTTGTAATCATAGGTGAACATAAACTCGAACGAGGCATGGAGTTTTTATCAATGTCACGCGATGAAGCCAAGCTTCACTTCACCGCAAGCGATTCTGCCCGAGTCGATAAAGTGACAGTTGGTGCTGCGATATTGCGACATGACACTTCAAACCCCAGCATCCTTCTCCTCAAACGCAACTCGGACGAGAAACACTATCCAGGCGTTTTCGAAATACCCGGAGGAAAGGTCGACGCAACGGACCCAAATATCTGTGACGCCATCATACGCGAGGTTATCGAAGAGACCCAAATGAAGGTATCGGATATTACCACTCCGTTGTCTCACATAGGATACACCACGGAGAAGCTCGAAAGAACAACGACAGGGCAAGAGAAGATCGTGAAGCGCCATGCTCTCCAGCTGAGCTATGTTGTTATGGTCGAAGGAACAGACTTCCAAGTTGAGAAGAAGGAGCACTCGATGGGGATTTGGGCCACCCGTGACAGTCTCAATCAGATTCCCATCACCTCGGAAATGAAAAAGCTTGTGTTGGAAGCTCTGGACTTTGCGGACGGCGTACGAAAAGCACTTTCACGAGAAGAAAAGCATCTGTCTACAAGACGAAAGTACGGAGTCAGGAACGTTTGAAGTCCGGCTCTAGGTGACTTGCGACACGAGCAGTCTTCTGAACGAACAGGGCTACGTGCTTCGCGATTTTGGACTTCGACAAGCATCTACTTTCTATTCACTAATACACGAAGCTATGTTGCCATCGAAATTTCCTTCCTAACAAACCATCGACAAAGATTCCTCAACGTGCTTCCACTCCTTCACATCCGGCTGCCATCTGAACATCCTGCCGGACACATCCCCTTCGCGACTGAAGCGCACTTCGCGTCTCGACATGCGTGACCACTGTTCCGTATCGTCCCCTTCGTTCACGTTTTCCGCCTCAATCGCCACATTTTTCAGTGCGACATTGTGAAAAGCCCTACTGTCCCAAAGCCCGTCTCGACGGTGATACTTGCCAAGCAGCTCTGTCGCCTCTCGTCTCACGCTGTCTTCTCGGCATCGACACGCGACAATCAACAACGGCAGAGTAGGACCGTTGTCCATACTGAAAGTCTCGGTGCATCCGCCGCAGTTTTGTTGCGCCGACAGAACGATTCGGCTGAGCTGAACCATTTCGCGGAATGATGGCGTCAGCATGATCATCACCTTGATATCCTTGTAACTCAGACTTGAGACATCGGTCCAGAGAGTGAGGTACTGTACGCGCAAGTTACAGGCGTCCACATAGGCGTGAAAATCGTGTTCCTGGTTCGCCTTTAGGGTGTCGTAGACACCTTGAAAGGCATTTTGCCAACGTCGTAGATGGCCAAGGAACTCAGGGAGCACAGCGGCCAGCTCATCCAGGTGACTCGGAGATAGAGCTGGCCGTACGTAACTGCCCACCAGCATCTCCTTCGAAAGTCCGTCGACAAACATTTCCGTGTAGATGGGACATCTATGACACGTGTAATGCTGCACGACCCTCCACCAACGCCGTGCCATGTGGACATCTGTGAAGACGGTCGGCATCTCCTCGACCGCATAAGTACGTTTGCTGCCCCGACAACACCAGCTGATTTGCGAAGCATCCTTGGTGTGCAGCACGTTGTGCGACCAAGCCTGCATCGTCAGACCCTGAAACACCCACGCAGCATCGTCGCACACTGCACGAATGGAGTCCGTCACAGGACCGTCCTCGACCAAAGAGCGCTGGTTGAAGTAGGTCTCCATCATCTTGTAAGCATGATTCACATGCGACAGTGCTGCGTTGCGGTCGCCGTGGAGACACTCGAACGTGACAAAGAGTACGCAGCAGACGATGGCCCAGAGCATATTCTCGCTTGATGGTTGAGAACTGCGCACAAGCTTGATCGCGCGACCGTATTGCTGGAGAGCGAACTCATAGTGCGGTCCGTTGGCGTGGAGTTCCTTCCGGGACCGCCTGATGAGTGATGGGACGAGGGCGCGGGCCATTCCGGCCATGGCTAGGGCGGCGTGCTTGATCGCCGGCTCACGACGCGCGAGCTGCGGGACGACGCGGACCATGATGTCGTTGGGGAAGAGGTAGATGTTAGCCACGAGGTGCTGCCAAAAGTCAAAGTAGACTTTCTCTTGCGGATTGCTGAAGAATGCGGACTCGTAGCCGGGTTCCCTCAAGACAGCAGCAGGCCAGACCCTCCAAGTTCCCTTGGAGATGATTAGGCGTGGCTGGGCATGACGATCTGGCTGCTTCTGCTGGAACTCATAGCCTTCGCATACGCCAGGCCCTCGAGGCGACTTGGTGCATTTCAGACAAAAGGGGCGAGTTTCATCGCATTTGATGTGTCGCCGCCTAGAAGTCAGGTCAGCGTCAATAGGACATGGGGGCCAAAATGGTGCAGCAACTTACTTGCACGTAATGCAGCCCGATCGCACTTTGCCTGCACAACTTCGCTTTACTCGTGGACGCTTTCCTAGAGAAAACGTAGCCATCTGGGGAGACATTCCCGGGACTCTGCAGACCCATGTTAGACGAGAACAACGTTTAGCATATTTGGCGTAATTACCTCTTCTTCCCGCGCCTCACGGTCGGCAGCGGGGCAAGCCCATCCGCCGGGTCCGGGCTCGACGACATGGAGTCGGAGCTCGATGCAGCGGGCTTTGGTTGCGAAAGTGAAGCGTCCATTTCGAGGAAAACATGGAAGATTGGAACTTGCGTAAGCTTCGATGGGGGAGAAACCGTTTTAAATCAACCCCCAAGTTGCCGCTGCCTGCTGGATATCACTCCGAAGTTCCGGCTATCGTCTGGGATTTGACCGACTAGCGCTGTAGGGCAGAATCCTTCGAAGGATCGCCGGTCACTCCCCAAGCTCCCGTCTCAAAATCTCACCTGGGACAGGGGCTCTAGTATATCCCACTTGGCCGATATGGATCGACCAACGAACCTTAAGAGGAGAATTGTCTAAGGACGGCTTACATGTGCCCGCAACGCAACGAATTTGCCATGACTATGCCAAGTGGTCTAGACTCGATGCGACCAAGGGATGCCCAAAGCAGCACACGGTAATTCTGATAGCCAATCATACGATTGAGCGCCGTCTTTGAGACTTCCTCAGCCACAAAGGATCTCCTACTTTGACGGAACGAATCTCCCCATTGAAAGGGAGAATGTGGTGGCTGCTGCAGAAGCTAGGTATCCCCGATCGTGACAGGAAGATTGCAACCAATCACCGTTCTTGACCGTTCGGCCCCAGCCGCCTTTGAGTTTACGACATCGGATATCTCGCCGCCATCACTCATCAACACATATCTGGGAAAGATGGAGGATAGATTAATGATTAATCGAGACAATTAGACTTCTTGTATCATTGAACATTCAATAGGCATCACGATGAACCCATAGCCAAACCTGTAGATGGCAAGGGGATGTGACGGAACTGCCGACACTTCCTTAGCATCTCCGCTCTATCTCGGCATTGTTTCTAAATGCGAGCTTTCCCCAGGGACCGAAAATATCAAAAACGCATGCGCTCAGTTTCTATTGATAAGTCGTGTCAGAATCTGATGGCGAAGAACACAAAGGGTGCCTCTGCGCCGCTGAGAAGGCGGATCCGTGGAGCTCGGTTTCGTCTGCAACTCGCCTGTTTGAGACGAGCGAACTCAAAATGATGTCAAGAGAACTCAAAAGGCTCAAGGACATTTCTTGCCCCATACACGAGCATGAAATAAGTAAGAAGAGATTTCAATTGCACTGAGCCTGACTTCGACACCTCGATGCCATTCCCGATGTATTCTTTCTGATGAGATCGATCAGCAGGCTCAAAAGAGACTATGCATAGCCAAAAGATGCATCTAGAGGTTCGGCGATGTACCGAGACCGACATCCCCCGCGTCTTCGAGATAGTTTCCTTGGCCTTTGCCAACGACCACGAATTTGTCGATGCAGTCTTCCCTGAGCACAGCACGTCCGAAGGCCGCAAATTGGGTAGCGAGCGTATGCTCGCTATGTTTCATCGAGATCCTTATAGCAACTTCCTGAAGTGCATCGACACGACCACTGGCCAGATTGTGGCGGCTGCAAAGTGGAACGTCTACAAGGGCGGCCCTGTCCCGCCGCTGCCTGAGCTTGTCGGTGACTACTGGAAGAACGATGAGGAGAAGAGATTTGCACAAGCTATCTTTCGTGGCTTTCTTGCGCCGAGACAACGAGCTATCGAGGAGAGCGGCGCAAGATTAGTTGGTACCTTGGAGAAGCTCATACCTTACCTGATTTACTTGAACATCTGAAGCTAATCTTTGGTTCACTTCCGCGAGCTATAGCACTCGATATGTTGATGTGTGATCCTCAGTTCCAGGGCCAGGGAGCGGGGAGACTACTAGTAAGAGCCGGCCTTGCTATTGCTGATGAGATGGGTGTCGATGTAAGTTGAGGCTTTACTTTCTAGTGTTGTCCCATCAAGAAAAGACTGGAGGCTGATTTTATGATACAGGCGGTTGTAGAGGGTTCGGATCGAGGGAAAAGACTTTACGCATCAGAGGGCTTTGATGGCCCCCATTATGTATGTCCCGTACCTGATGAGTTCGCCGCACGGCGTAAACAAACCTACTGGTGGATGAGGCGACCCAAGACCAGTATCTAAGAGATTCACATGAACTTAAGCTTCATGTATTCTCAATGATCATCGATAATGGTCGGGGCTAAGACCTTTGATAAAGCTCGGGATGATCCAACGACTGGAAGCGCCAATCTTTGTGATGCGAGTAGCAATTTGCCAATGTCTTCATGCTGCTTCAACTTTCAAGGAGTCGCCCACGTGCGTTTAGGAGCTCCTGTTACATCAAACTTGTCTGTGCCGGCGACCCTGATCAGCGGTCTTCATGAGCAACGGTGTCAACTCATTCATATTGCAACCTAATTGGAGTTACCTACGGATACTGTGGCTAGAATAAGTACGTCTACTCACATTGCATGCCTAACGCGGTCCTCTTATCAATATTGCGACTGAGCGACCCCGTGCATTCTGGTTGTGGCCCAACGAATGCCGATCATATGTCAAGTTCGTAAGTGTTATTGGGTTCGTCACTCGCCGTAAGCTGCATCGATGCGAGGGTAGCATGCACAGAGGCGGGGTTGGCAGAGCCTGCTTCTGGGAACGAATCCGGGAATATATTGAGTTCACCTCCGTTCTCTTTGATCCAATCCGTTCATTTCCATTACTCTTTTTTTGATTAAGTGTTGGGAGTCCTCCAGGTTCTCGGTGTATCGTTGCTGCCACATGAACTATCGCTCCGTTTTCAAAGGGCTGTGAGATCCTTGACCTGCTCTCTTGAAGGTCTTTCGAAGATATTCCTTGAGGCAGCACGGCCTTGCATAAACGCATATACGCTTCGTACCGCCTGTCGTCAATATGGCTTCCGACCTAGAGGAGGCAAAGACTCACCTCAGAGAACACGGATGGGTTCGTGTCCCGTCGGTTCTCACCACAGAAGAGGCTGCTGGCGTACTTGACCGGCTATGGAAGGCAAAAGCAGCGGCTGAAGCTCGTGGCGAGGACACATACCTGTCGTTCCTGGACCCCAACCCCAGCAACGTGCGGGTGTTCTACTTGCTAGAGCTC